CCGCGCTTTCCCCAGCCTGCGCTGCTGCGGACGAGCAGCCAGGACCAACACGCAGCCCGGTGCGGCCACGGCCCTCGACGTATCTCAGGTGGCCAGGATCCTGGCACGCCGTTAGGAGCTCCTTCCTGGCAAGCCTGTCTCCTCTGCATCTTTGGGCTCCTTGCGTGCTAACCTGACATCCGGAGCTCCCCCAGAGCCGTTCTCCCCAGGCCCCTGGGCAGCAGCCGCTTTTGTCCAGTTCTTCCTCTTTTGCCCCTCGCTGGGGGATGGGCCGGCAGCTCCTGTTTGTAGACCTGTTCTGTTTGAAGCCTGGAGTTGCAGATCAGGCCCAGCCTGAAAGAAGCCGCTCTCCTAAGCCCTCTCCCTGAATCACAGGGAGTAGCTCGTCATCCTGCTGCCCTTGCTCATCCTCAGGTAACTGGTGTCAGTGGATCCAGCCATCCCTGCGTCTGCCAAGGATGCCTGGCCCTGTACGGTGCCCTCCATCCCGCGCAGCCTGCTTGCCTTGCTCCAGGGTTTCTATAGGCTGATGGAAAACAGACGCTCTAATTAGCTACGTGATATGACCCTGAGGCCTGCCCCCAGAGCAGGTGAAGGAAAAGTTGAATATTTCTGAAGCTGCCTTTGGGCAGACCCTTCGCCAGACCCTGGTAGGGGGCCTCGTTCTCCTTACTGGATGCAGCAGGGAGCATTGTCCCACTGGCTGCACAGAGGAAATGGGTCAGGAAGCCAAGCTCCAGCCTGGCCATAATGTGAGTGTGATTAGGACCTGACCTATCTTCTGTAAAGTGCCTAAAGCCTTGGGTGTGAGCCGGGGCAAGGGACTGGCTGGAAGCAAGCAGAACTTGCTCATCTTAACATGTACTGGTATGTGAGCTGTAAACCTCTCTCGTTACACCTCTCAAAGGTCAGCACTCGCAGTGAACCGCAACACCCTGCCCCCAGCTCTGACCCAGCCCTGAAAGATAAAGGAGCCTGCCCCACCTCCGGAGGATGCTCTGAACTTGTGCGGGTCAGATGTGTGGGGCTGTTATGGGGTAGTGCACTCTGTTACGGTGCCTGTGCTCAGAGTTCAG